TCAGTCAACTCTTCAGGATTAATGAATTTAGACCTATCATCAATGAAATGGTCTCGGATAGCAGCGGGGACCCTTTTCTTTAATTGATCCATAATAATAAGTTGTTTTAAAGAGTCAAAATCTGTTACATTTAATCCAGCAAGCCACTCTTCAAAATATTTTTTAAATTCAAATGTGAAGTCCTTCCACGTATTACACAACGATGTAATATGATCAACAAATTTTTGCCGAAACTGTTCAGGGCTTAACTTAAATTTTCTCAGTAGCAGTTGTTTAACGTGCTTATAGTCGTTAGCTTTTTCTTCTAATTCACGGGCAATTAATTGAGTTATTTCATAAGGCAATAGCCCAACAGCTGAGAAACCCAGTTTTGTTCTTCTAACCCAATACATTGTGCCTGTCTCTCAAATAAAACTAAATAAAAACTTATATCACCTTCATTCAAATCATACTTTATGCATTAATTTACTCATATCACAAATAATTACTTTTACTAACATTAGAAAGGAACAGAAACATTTACATTACTACTTCTGATTTTCGCTTCTATTTTCAAGTTCAAAAGTTCTTTGTTTATCTCTTTCATAATTTCCATTTCAAATGCTCTATTGCTTATTTCTAAAATTTCCATTTCAAGTGTTCTTTGCTTTTGTAACTTTTCTCTTGTCTAAACGATCATTCATAATTCTATTCTAGAATTTGTTTAGTAAAGTCTTCGTTATAGTTCTTACTATTCAAAATCATATCTCTTAAGCCTACAATTTTAATATCAGAAGGACATCAAGTTCCAAAGCAAGTTCTTTTAAGTCACATTTTTTGCCTCTTGCCAAATAAGCCATCTTAGACTTCAATTTTCAAATAATAATACAATAATTATACTTAAGTTCTTTCTGTTTAATACTTAGACAAAACATATAAGCCAAAGGGGGTAAAGAACTATTAAAAAACTTGAAGTTGATTTTATTACATTGTGGATGGCATTTAAAGTCATTTAATTTTCTGTGTATATTATATTTCAAAACAATTTTATATGTTATAAAAAAACAAAAATGTTTTGAAGCATTCTTTTTATAATATAAACGTCCATTTTGCTTGCTTTGCACGTGACACTGTCATTTTGTCCGTTACTTATTTAAAATTTTCACATTGTTCTGTCTCAAAATTAGAAATTAAAGTTAGTGACCTAAAACTGCAGTCAAAAGTCGTTAATCCGGACACCCATAATCTGGAATGATCTATAATCCGAACCTCAAAGCTTACAAACTTTCTGCGCAAGCGTCAACTCATGATGCGTTCACGCATGTGCATAGGCATTTACACATGCGCGTAATACTTTTACTCATGCGCATACATTTACGCATGCACGTTTAATGTATAACGGGCGGTATAAGCTAAGCAAAAATTATCTAATTATCTATATCAGTTAATATTGCAGATTGCGTTGTTCCTTAATCTTCGAATTAGGATCCAGCTAATTATTTTTTCCAGACTGTTAGAGCAATTTTATGAAAGTAATCTTGAACTTTCGATTATGTCAAATAGAATTTCCGATGCTGGAGTTGCCAAAGGATCTAGAAAGCAAAAGTATGTTTCAATGTCCATGAAAGAAAAAGTGGAATTGCTGCAAAAAATGGATAAAGGCGTATTGTTTGTTTCTCTAACCATTCCGAAATCTGTTTATCAATTTCACGCTGCTCTGCGAGGGGAGGGGGACGTCACGGCACGCAATGAATTGGAAGTTGATCTGTCAGCACTATCCTTATCTTCAGGGCAGATGTTTTTATTTTATTTGGTTTATAATTCCTTACTACATGTAGTATCTATTTCATCTTGATGTACTCCGTCTTTGATATGTTTTAAATTAAATTCCTTGTCATTATAATTCGCTTCCGATAGTGAAGAAAGTGACACAGAGGTTATTGAAAACGAAAAAATTTCGATTGACATATTAATCAGTATTCTTAACACAGCAATTATAGGACTTGAACAGTGGAACTTTGGAACTGAACAAGGAATTATGCCTGTTTATAGAATTAAAGAGAAAGTATTAGCACATAAAATGAAGCAACTTACATTGAAAGAAATGTTTAATAATGTAAACAAATAAATATTAAGCTTTTTTTTTTTTTTTTTTTTTTTTTTTTTTGTAAATTTTGATACCCCTTAGATCATAATTGTTCTTTATTTCATAAATAACGGTTTCATATTTTTAATTTTATAATTTCTGCATGCCGTCTTACCAGATTTAAATTGATGATCTATAATCCAGAAAAATTGATAATCTGGAATCGCCGAAGTCCCGACGAGTCTGGGTTGACTTTTGGCTGTAGTATATTACAGTACAAGTGAAAAAAATTGATGGTTGCACTCACGTGTGTGTTAGATTTGCGCAATGCTTTTGGGGTCCAACAAAATTTATGGGGGTCCTGGGGTCGCTAAAAAATCTCAGTGATAAAAAGGGGTTGCAACTGAAAAAAGTTTAAAAAGCCCTGTTCTAGTATATTACTGAAACTTTTAGTTTTAAATTTTTAGCATTTACTTAGTAAATGAAACTTAAAGTGTATGAATTCTATGCCCCCAGTGCACAGATTTAAATTTATTTCACCTGAATTGTTTTAATCTACTGTAGACATTTGTAAAACTTTTTATGATGATTCAACCAGTGTTTAATCAGTTGATATTATATTTAATTTCATTTTGCGTCAATAAATGGTACATTGCTAAGCTTATCCACACAAAGGTATGCATCTTATATTCATAACATGAAAAAGTACTTTTATTAATAAAAGTTTTTCTTCTATACTTGCGATTTTCTCAATATTAAAGCGTAAGAAAATTGTAGGATTTTATGTTTAGTTACCAGTAATTAGTTTGCCTTTACAGTAAATCTTATTTTGTTTGGCTTCCACTAGGATATAAGTTTATTAATGCATTTAAGTAGAGATCTTGAGATCAAGAAATAGCTTGTAGGAACTGTCACTGACCATCTCGCTATAATTCTCCTAGAGCCTGAATTACTTTAGCTTTGTGAGTCGTAATTACTTGCCTAAGTTGAGAGTGGGAGCCAAAGCTTACAGGCGTATTTTGTCTTGTAAATCTCTTATTTTAATATTTAAATTTTTACCTTAACTCTGTTTCTCTCATTTGCACAAGCTGTAGAGTTTATGTTATTATATAGGTGTTTAACTGGAAGACTGATGAAATAATAAACCTTCTTTTGTGATGGATTTATTTTACTTAAAGTCAGTAAGTTGGAAAGTATTCATGGACCTAGGGATTAATATTTAAAGTGGTTAAAATCTGTACAGAGTTACAAAATGAAATAAACCAAATTATATAAAATTTTAAATATTTAATTTTGATATATTTTGCATTAGATTCACGCACTTCTGTAGCCTGAATAATGCAAATTTAAGTCAATTTGAAGTGCCCTTGCAGCATGAAACCTCCCGGTTTTCACTCAGGAATCTGATTTCTGAGGGTTGGCAGCTATATTGAATATGTCTATAAGTTATCAATATCAATATTTGATGTGTGAAGACTTCATGATATTTATCTTTGGTTATACAATAATGATTTTCATTAATATAATAACAGTTATGATCTCTAAGTGAAACAGAATGTGAAAACTTGAAGTAATTTGATTTCTTAATGTTCATTTTCTTATTAATATGTCAAACGATGAAAAATTATTATATGTAATTTATTCTCAGCTAACAATTTTGGCAGATAAAGATAATTTTAAACTTACATGCATATATTTTCTGCATGTTTGCTCTAAGTTTTCAAGTGCTGTAAAATACTGAATGCGGTACAAAGTCCGAGATACGTACTTGTCAGGACTTCGGCGATTAGGGATTTGGGATATTTCCGAATCACCATTTATAAGTCTAGTAAGATGATATGTACCCCTTAAATGGGAAGAAGGCTCCATTTACTCTATTTTTTAAAAAGGCAATATGCTTGAATACCATAACTATAGGGGCATTACTCTTCTTGGTATTGCATATAAAATATTCTCTAATGTATTATATACAAGACTAGTACCCTCTATTGGTAAGGTGATTAGAAAGTATCAATGTGAATTTAGATACCAAAGATCTACGTTTGAGACAAATCCCTTAAAAAAAAAAAAAAAACTGAAGAATACTGCAGCATTAAAACTTACCATCTATTTATTGATTTCAAGGTGACATTTAAGAGTATAAAGAGAGAAACGTTGTTTGCAGCAATGGTAATCCATTACTTTAGTTAAAGCTACACTTGGTAAAGTGAGATATAGGATTAAAATTCAAAATCACCTATCTGAAATTTTTATAACAGAAACAGGCCTGCATCAAAAAGAAAAACGTCTAACTTGCCTGCTATTAAATTTAGCGGTACAAAAGTACATCAGAGTCAACGGATTAGACCAAAGGGACATGTTGTGGAATAGGTCCCTGTAAATATTGGCCTACACAGATGATGTAGATATTACTGGAACATCAGAAAAGGCAGTAATTGAGGCTTTTCCGTATCTTGAATCTCCTGCCACAAGTATAGGCCTCATAGTCAACGAGGATTAAATCAAATTCCTGGAAATTACACCCTCCATGGTAAACTATTGTAACAATTTGCAAAAAAAGTCAGTGCTTATTTGCTTTATTGAACATTTCTTTCAATGTAAGTTGTTAAAGTCCCCCCTTTTTTGTATTAATATTTTCCTTTTAATTCTATATTGGACATTTGGATTTCCAACTTTGTACTGTATATAATTTCTTTTGTTAGTTTGCGAAATTTTTTAATGGTATATTTCCAAACAGAAGTAAATATTATTTGAAGTAAATTTAAAAATTAATAGGAAATTTGAATTGTTGCTGTTCAGGGAATGCAATTCTTCACAAGTGAAATTGTGAAAAATTAATTCTAATTTGCTGTTAGTATGTTAATGCATTTGTAAAATATATTGAGGTTTCAGCTTTTTATTCATCTTGTTACATAATTGAATCTGTTCATTTTAGCCTTTGCAACGGGAAGCTGAAATCATTGCTGAAGATGATCAAGTTTTCCTGTGTAGGCTGCAGAATCTTATTAACCAGCAAATTCCAGCCAGTGTAGGACGACCTGCAGGACCAGTATGTATAATTTTTCAAATAAAATTTCTATTGCAGGGCAAAGTTAAGCTTAAAATTTTCTGCTTTTTATTTTTTTATTTTTTTAAAGATCACCTTTTTCTCCAGATATGTTCAAGTAGAATGTGAACGTATCCAGTCTGTATGCCATATGACTCCAACATTTTGCTTCTATTTTAAAGGGATTAAAAATGATAAAATTAGTCTTGTTAGTAGCAGAGCTTGTCAGTAAAATGTTCCTGAGATTACAGGGTTCATAGCGGTCCTTACAAGTGCTTATAAGTTATTTGAAAATAAAACATAAAGGCCCTTATAGGTGCTTACTTTTCCCCAAAGCACTTATTTTTTTGCTTTTAGTGTTTTCTTTTTTTTAAAAAAAAAACGTACATTTTTTCCCCATACCAAAGCCAAAACTAAATAAAAACTTTTCTTCTTTATCTGGAACGTCAGATGGTGATTCATACTCCCGGAAATAGCTTTTCGCCCCTTTCTCTGCATTAACGTAACCTTTGGTGTATGCGAGTACAGACGGGTGCATGTCATTCTATTGGTCAAAGAATTGCGAAAGCCGTAGAAATTTCTGGTACATTACTTATTCTTTTCCTCCCACCCAAGACTACACACGTTTGAATTTCTCTCAAGATTTAAGATTTCAAGAGACTCATTCCACATGGTCAGTTCATGTTCACATTTATTATGATCGTTATGCTTATATTATGAGCATACGTATGAATATTTATAATATATTTGCAGTAAATGCTGAAGTATAAATTAACTTAAAAAATGGGTAAGTGTGTTTTAACACAAATTAGCTTTCTAAGAAATAATATTTGGAATGCCTTAAATAAATTGAAAGTAATCAAATAGTCAAAATAATTTCACTTTTTGTGCCAATATACAATACGGAAGGTGGGGGGGGGTCCTCGCCTTTGTCTGCAAAATCTCAAATATTGAAACCATTACAGTTCGCAGCAAAAGAAGCAGCGAACTTTTTTTTTTTTTTTTTTTTTTTTTTTTTTTTTTTTGGTCACTTTCTAATCTGGATTAAATAGGACTAAAAGTTCAGCGGTCTGCCAACCCAAGCGAAGAATGATTCTGTTCTGGAAATTTAATGCAATGTGTTCAAAATTAGAATGAAAAACACCCCAGATTAGTATGTCTCTTTCGTTTCCTTTATTTAGGTATTTATTCTCCGAATACCGGCAATTGATGATTCCAATTGTGTAATATCACGTGCAGAAGAATTAAGTTGCATGTGTTGTGCAATAACGTTTTTGATATTTTGCCAAGATAATTAATTTTGATGTTCAGTCTGAGATTTGATTTATGAGCACTTAAAGAGTTTTACTGTGCTTGCTAAGCAGAATATTTTTCAGTTCCGTTGGGCTATTTCTACATGATGCACACATCGAAATGTCAAATGCATCATTTAGCCGAAAAATCTAAAGAATGGCTACAATATACCTTCCCCCTCTTTTTCCAGTTATGCTCGACTATCCAGAATTTTCAGATATTCGGCAATTTCCGAGTATGCCGGTTAGTTAAGCTTTTACCGTTAAAGGATGACTGCATGAAGCAATTCCCCTTCTTCTGATTTCAGAAATGTTCCTCTTTTTTCTTATTTTTACTTAAATTACTTTGCTTGAAATATCTGTTAAGGGCTTTTGACATTTCGATATGTGCGTCATGTAGAAATAGCCCAACGGAACTGAAAAATATTCTGCTTAGCAGGCACAGTAAAACTCCTTAAGTGCTCATAAATCAAATCTGTTATACAATAAAAATTTAGAAAATATTCAGAATTTTGATTTAAGTTAAATTATTTAAATCTTAATATGAGTGGAAAAATAATTTGTATTTATGTTTAGGTGTCAAGCGAATATAATAAATATGGCTTATTGTTATATATTTTCTCTATTTTGAACTGAAATTTCATCTTTAAATCTTGTAATATAGTTTAGTTCTTTATAGTTTTTGTCCTCTCATTGTAAACTAGTTCTGTAAATTGAACTGTTATTTAAATATTTTTTAAAATATAATTATTTTCCATTGTTGAGGTAATGCTCATTCTGTCTTAATAAATACTGAATTTCTCATTGTAAATTAGTTCTGTAAATTGAACTGTTATTTAAAATTTTTTTTAAATGTAATTATTTTCCGTCGTTGAGGTAATGCTCATTCTCTCTTAATAAATACTGAATTTCTCATGTTTTAAATTACCAGTCTCATTTTTCTTTTAAGGTTATGCAGTTGTGTATAATGTAATTAGGTGCTTATTTTTTTTCCTTAAAATGTGCTTGAAAAGGGCTTATAGCTGCTTATTTTTTAACTAAAATGTGGCTAGGGATTCTATCCAGCCTGCTAATAATAGCCTGGATTAGGATTCAGAAATTGTATTTACTTGTGGTTTCTTTATGCTGGAGTTCATATTATACCTCATACAGCCTGAGAATTCAATTACTGGAGAATAGTAGCCCACAAAGACTGCAGATTATTTACCATGTAGTTGCTGCTTGTGTTAGGATTCAATGTCTCATGAGAATTTGCAGTCAGTGGGTTTACAAGGACTATATCAGGTGACACGTGAGATATCATTGGGCTCCACTCACCAATGCCTGACACAGACATCTTGCCCACATTGCTGCTGAAGATTGTATGGTGACATTATGTATCCTAGGTCAGGATGCATGGCTCCAAATCTGACAAATGCTATGATGCCTACACTGCCTGTGATTGTCAACAAGGCAACTATTGCTAAGCCTTATTTTTTTATACAACTCAGGAATCAGTTGCACATTAAATGATGTTAATGATCTTTTCAGCGATTCATTTTCTTTTCTGACGAATCCCATTTTTGGTTATAGCACGATGGCTATATCTATATGTGGAAGCAGTGAGGGAAAGAAATATTGACATCGTGCATTCTGTATCATACCAGTGGAGTGCGTAGTTTGATGGTATCGGTTGTTATTAGGCACACATCCCATTGACCTATAGTCCACATTTTCTGTACTTTGACTAGCCAGTATTACATAATTGAGATTTTAATGGCCATAGGCATGTTGCATCTCGGGGGGTCTTCATTGTTCTATCTTTAGCAGAATAGTGCAAGACCATATTTTGCCCACACTTTCATGTGTTTCTTTAATAAACAGGGTATTCAAAAGTTGCCTCGGCGAATGTTGTTTGAAAGTTGTTCAGATCTCTCACAAGTTGTAAATAACTTTGTTAAAATACTCATAGCTCACTACAAGACAGCCCTCAATAAGATAATCCTCATTAACTGATTTATTGTTCATAAATGTGGTTTCTAAGCAAGAAATATTTTTCTTTATTCTTGGTTTAATTTGTAGTTCTTATTATCGTAATTGTCTAACTTTTTCCCGTAAAGGGCCAATTAAAACTTTTACAGGCAACTGGTGGGGAAAGAAGCTGCTTCCTATTTGAAAAAATTGTGATAAAAGCAAAACATCAGAAATAAACAGTAGAATATATATTTCAAACTGGCAGATTAGTTATTTCTATATTTTTAACTGTAAATATAAAAAAGGATGCATTAAAAATGAATTGTAAAATTAGAAATTTAGTGAATAAAATATAGAAGGGGTGTTTTTTAAGTAAGGGCCATTTGAAAATAAAAACCAAGCAAAAGAAAAATTTCAAAAACCAAATTTATTTTCAGATTCTACATATGTTTCTCTATTTTTCAGCATAGTTATGAAGTTTTAACACATACCTTAGAACTAGATTTTGAATACCCTGTTCATAGAAACTTGTTGCCTGCTGCAAGTGGTCACGACCATTTTTATGTCTTCATCATCGTTGCAGTGATTCTCGCGGGTATGGTGTTTGAGATGGTTGAAAAAACGAAAATTGCTCTTCGCAAGGTCTGGGCTTTAGGGGGAAGGTTGGTCCAAAACTTTCCAGCCAAAAGAGTCCAATAAAGGTCGGTTCTGAGCTGCGGTGTGAGGCCTTGCATTGTCATGGAGTGGAGAAATTCCCTGTGTCGGTATGCCACGTCTTTTTTTAAATCACTTTGCAGGGCTTGGCTGGGTCTACCACATTTATGGTAGTTCCGTGTTGCATGAGGTCGACCAACAAAACACCATGATGATTTTAAAGACGCAGAACATACCATACAGGTTACCTACACAGCTGCAACTGAGCATGGTTTTTTTCAAGGAATGTCGGAACACGATGCACACACTCGTTGCGGTGCGCATGCCAGCTTTTAGTGTATACAACAAAACGGCCCTTACTTAAGGAACACACTGTGTATAATTACTTTTTTTTAAAAATTTATTGTCTTCAAGACCCAGCATTGAGTTAATCCAAGGTCTACAACTGCTTTTGCTTCTATAAAAATCTACTTAATGTTTGTTTGTATTGCAATATCTAGAACTTTGGCAAGAACTTTGATTGTCAAACTATATATGATTTTACTGTCATGCCTTGTAAGCAGCTATTTGCTGTGATTTCAAATACTAAAATCAATCAGAAAGCATTTTTAATGTTTGAATAAAAGTAAGAAAACATGTTTTTATAAAGTATTAACAAAATATGATCTTATGGAACCTGTCTTATGTCAGTTCATTTTGGATGTTTAATTAGTTTGATTTGTAACATTAATTGGTAGCAACCAGTGGCTTCATTTCCAAGTGGATCTGAAAATAATTTTACCTCAGTTTGCTCCGAGAGATATGAAATGTTTTGTTGGCAACTCACCTTGTGATGAGGAGGAGGGTCAATCACACTGTTCATGTTGTTTTTTTCTTTCTAAAGAAGCCCCTCCTGCACATTTTATTTATTTATTAATTTTTTCTTCTGATTCTTGGAATATTTGGAAATTTAAAATAGTATTTTGTTATCTGGAGTGCAGCTAGCAAGCTGTTGTTAGATTATCTTCTTATGTATTTGGAACTATTGAGTTGCAGTGAAAGTAAGCATTTTTTTGGATAAAATCGCGGAGAAGTTCAAGTGCAAAAATATATCTGTATTTAGTTGTCGCACATTCTCTTTATTCATTTAAATTTTATTGTTGTTGCTTTCATTTTGCGTAAACTCAACTTTATGTAAATAATAATAATTCAGTGAAACTTTTAGACTTTTGCATCTACTTTTTAGATGTCAGCATCTCAAATCTCAAATTTCTTGTTTTGAATGATGATAACTTTGTGACTTTAAAGGTCATGATGCATGTTGTGCACAACAGTGTTTTTAAAACAAGAAAATCATTTTCATAGTATTTTTTCCTTGTGCTTTTATTGTATTAGTTCCCATAAAATGTATTCCTTTATCAGCAATGACGTTAGGTAATTTTTTTTTTTAAATTTTTTTTCCAAGTCTTTGGACCTTGGTGCAGCTTTTCGAAAACACTTTTAATTTTTCTAAAAATTTTCTTGGTTTCAAACATTGAATAGTAGTTATATCACAGTAACTGGATTGATAGCTTTAATGTGTTTGTCATTACATATGGAAGGTATCTTATTCAAGTCTAGTATTTTTTGTTTTCTTATGCTGTGATTTGTAAACAAAAAGTAATGACATAATGATGAGTACGTGCAGTAATACATGTTTAATTTTATCAGCAAATACAGTTTTAAAAATGCAAACTTTAGAACTTTTAATTTCAATGTAAATATTAAATATTATTTGTACGAAAATGTATAAATCAGTAGATTTAATGTGTAAAAATAAAGTGAACATCTCTTTTTGTTCCTAGATGGGTAGCCTATTCTATTTAATAATATTTAAAAATTCTCATATCACACATTCTCTTATATGTATTTATGGGTACTAAACAATTAACTGCATTGTCATCTTTCTCATATAAAGCTTTTCTTTTCTTCCTTTTTTAATTTTAAGGCGGGATTTAAACATTAAAATTGAGATAAATTTTCATATAAGCATATTACTTAATACTTTTAAACAGAAAAGTATTTAGAAAGTTTTCTTTTAAAACACATTATAACCATAGAACAAAAGTTCTATAAATATTTCTAATGATAATTTGTATTTTGAAGTGATAAAATACGAGGGCTGTTTCAAATATATTGCACAGTTTTGCAAAGGCTGCAGAGTATATGGCACAATCAAAATGTTTTTGCTCATTTGTTAAACAAGACTTCAGAAAGCAGCAGTTGTGCTGCATTGTAAGTTTTTAAAATAAATCAGGTAGAAAACTACTGATATACTGTTATGAAACTGCCTCGGAGGTTATATGCATAGATTGGAATTTCATATGGGAAAATTGCAATAAACATTTGCTGTGCATGAGCTGCCACTGATTATTTCATAGCCTCACACAATCCAGGCCCAAGTCCCAGACTTCTGAAGGCCTAAAATCATCCTGTAATTTCCCACAATATTCTCCCTCCTCCCCCCCCCAAAAAAACATGAAAATGTAGGTGAATGAAGACTGTGCTTTAAGGCCTCAGATTGTCTTAATTTGGCCACATGAGATCTGTAATGATTGATTAACATATTCCACTGTTCATATTCCCATGAAGAAACTTTCATCCTTGTAAGATTTATATCAGCTCATTTCCACCACACCGGAGCGTGCCAAAAAAAGGGGTGGGGTTCTAACTGGAATTGTGTACTTTCATTAAAAAACAGGGATATACTTACATGGAAGCAATACAGAAAATAACCAGCTAAATGAAACCTCAACTGTGTTTGATAAAAAAAATTAATGTGCATTACTTTTGAAATGAGCTTTCATTTTTTTTTTTTTTTTTTTTTACTGATTTCCCTTCTTGCAACTTTTTCATTATAGCAAGAACCTCCAATTAGATCTCCTGCTGGTGTGCAGAAGACTGGAGATAGAAGGATATCTGGATCATCTGGTGTTCAGTCATCTCCAAAAAAGGTTTATATGATTGCCTTATGGAAAATTTTTTTAGAATTATTTTTCAATTTGCAGATTTTATAAACAACTATGAGACTAAGTATCAGTTTTCATCACTTAGTTTTAAATCAGCGTACATGCTTATTCTGTATATAATGTTAATAATAGTTGAGTAAAAATGCAAATGAAGTGTTCATATCTTTTTTTAAGTTTTGCACGTTGCAGTTATATGCAGCAAATGCAATGCTGCTTTTCTTGCAAAGTGCATGAATGTTATAATTGTAGGTATGAATAATGGATCAGTTTCTCTTTTGCTTAGCATCAGGTAAATATATACCAGCTGCATGCCACAAAATTCTTAGATGATAACATTATAGATTAATAACTATACAAAATTTACTTCTATAAAAACACTGATTTCTCAAAATGTTTCAAATAATATTAAATGTTTTTCTTTGGGATGATGCATAGTAACATAACACATATATACAGGGTTGCCATGCTACCTGGAAAACCAGAAAAGGTCAGGGAATTCGAAAATTGACCAAAAAATTCAGTTGGAAGTCAGGGAATTTAAATATTTTAGTCAAAATCTGGAAAAGTCAGGGTATTTCATACGGCGATCCCCCAAGAAAGCGAGTTTTGCGACGATGTTGGAAGCGATAACTTTATTGGTGAATTGTGTAACACGTGAGTGTCATTCAGGCACCTGGCATAGTGCCAATTTTTGCAACTCCGATTAGATTGTCTTTTAGAAATGCAAAGCAAGTTTCCAGTAACCTCGAGAATCGCATGCACATAGGCATTGCATGTTGAACTAAACAAAATACTTGTATAAAACAAAATCTTATATAAAACAAAATTGGTTTAACCCTATTATATGGTACTATGGAGGTTAGAATCAAAGAATATGTATTGTTAAGAAGGAAAATCTCTGCAACAGGAGTGTCTCCGTTCCAACATAGAGGGAAATAGCTGCGCGTGAAATATCTCTCGCCAAAGCTCAAAGCCCGTGTCAGAGTTCGAAGGTCACTTTATCAAGAGTTCGTAAAATGAATATCGTTTAAAATTTCTTTAAACTTTAAAGGAAAAGAAAATATTTTTTCCGCAAGTAAATTCATTAATGGATTAGTTATTTTGAGGGGGAGAACCCTATGAAAATCCTTGTCTAAATTATTGCAAAAAATCAAAAAAAGAAACGTTTTGTCAAAGAATGTTTCTTTTTAGCAACAGTTCCTCAATTTCCTGTACACATCGCGGAGAGGGAAATTCCAGCCGCCAGGTCCTTGGCGAATATTCCCTCCGCTTTCTAGCGGCATAATAGCATTATGTCTATGGAACCTTTCCTTCTTTACATAGACATTCTTTGGTTAGAATAACCTCCATGTATTCTTTTCTAACTTCCATGTATGGTATACACGGGATTTGGCGACATGATAATGAGCAGTAAAACAGATCATTTTGGTGTTGGCGACAAATTTCAAAATCATGCCAAATCCTTACCGTATACTAGAATTTTACCCCAAAATGTGTTAAACCATTTTTTTTTTAATAATTTCCTTATTTGTCATTTTGCAGTAAAATAAAAAAATAGTAATCAGTAATCTAGGCTAACCATTTAGTATAACTCTATTTGCTAAAATATCATTGATTATTCTAATTCAATTTTAAAGTAATTATCTTTATTTTTATGTTATTCGTATCATTTAATGTTGCTTCTTCCCTCTAATAAATAATACTTTAAAGTTTCAGAAAATTTTCTCTGCCATAATCCTGAAATGAATTCTAGCAGTATGATGACATACCATCACGAAATTTAATGCACATACTTTTTGCTTATGTATGCTGCTAAATAATTATAAAATACCTGAATTTATTTAAAAATATCATTAAATAGGTTTTCTTTTGTTTAGCTGCAAAATGTCTGCAAAGGAAAAAGACTTTTTTTTTAATTCAGGTTAGGCAGATTGTATCTTTCAGTGGAGAAAACAACTCCTATTATAGTTATAATAGTAATGCTTTGGGAATTATATATATATTATAAGTCATATGTAATTGGCAAATTTATGTGTTTTCAAGTAATACCATAATTAATTTACCTCTTAGCACATCCAACGTCCATTACGTGGATAGACTGGCATTTTCGTAAAACATACCTGGAAAAGTCAGAGAATTTCATTCTCCTGTTTGAGTGGCAACCCTGTATATACAAAGTGAAAAAATAAGTATAAATAAATGTTGCAAAACTGTAGTGTGAAATACATGAAACTGAAATAAGATCTAGCTTGTAATTTGAGGGGCAACAAGTTTCTTGGAAGAAAATGCAGACTTCTGGCATTAGTAAGGAACATGATTTCCTTTAACTAGTACACACAGAGTAGTGTCATATTTCAATAAATTGGTGAATTAGGATTTGGAAGATTAAATTTCATTTCTGCAGTAGTATGAGAGAAGTTATTGAGGTTTCAAGGAGCAGAATTTTGTCAAACAGCAGCTCTTCCAGGGTTGACCCGTGAGTCCTTTTAGGGATTGCAATGTGCAGTGAGCAGACTTGGGTGCTCCTTGTATTTAGTATCTTTCATTCCTTCCCCCCCCAAAAAAAATAGATCACTAACTGGCTGTGGACATTCATTTTTATCCTTAAAAGAAATTCAGATCTTTATGTTATTCAAGAAGCCTCACATAGGTTGTGAGACTATCTTCATATTGTCAGGACTACTGTTCCTTCTAATTGCCTTTGGAAACATAGCTGGAGTCCTGTGTAGGAACAGGGAGTTTACTCAAAACTATGTTCGTGCGTGTGTAGGCGATACAACAAAAATGAGAAGGGTGGTAAATTTACCCTTTATTTCTCATAGCGTACAGCCATTCCCGTACTTCGGGATACAGAGACCAGCACTTATGGTTTAAAATGTCAAAAATAAGAAATAGATTAGCTTAACCAAATAAGAATTCACATGATTTACTGAGAGTAGTAACGAAAGATTGGCCTTTTAACACTATGTATGTAGTAGGCAGAATGCAAAAACTACAATACATCTTCAAATATCGGTGAGAACTAAGTTCTAGCCATAAAAGCAGACATGAACTGATTAAAAAGCATGTGCGTGGTAAGTAGCAAGAAGTCTCTCTCTTCTTTTTTTGCTAAAAGCCATATCTTAAATACTTGTACAGTTTGCAACCTCATTTGCATAAACAATTTTACTCATTCTTATTCTAGTTGAAAATGGAAAATAAGAGAGGATAGCAAAGTTTTAAAATAAAATAAATGTTAGTAAAACTTAAAATCCTTACAATATGTCCAAGATAGAGATCCTGTTAAAGAAACGTTAATGGGAGTAGGCCTATTAATAATGCTTTCTCATAACATCACATCTCTATCTTTTACGTTCCATAATGTTGTTGGGAATATTTTGTGTTTGTGTTTTCCTCCAGATGTGAACATATTTAAAATCAGTTGTTAAACTGAATCTTCAGCTTCAAAGAAGAGAGTGCAGACTTTCTGTGGTAGACTTCAGCCTGTAGGCTGATTGCTCTGTGAGCCATTTCAGATTAGAGAGGGCCATCTGAATAGGTGCTGAAAACAGTAATTTGAATCTATAGTGGTATATCTGCATTCTTTTGAGTAATGAATCAAGACTAGGTTAGCATCTGATTTCTAAATGCATTTGCTTGTAAAGGGATCCAGAAATATGAAATATTACTTAGGGAATATGACTGTGATAATGCAGCAAGATAAAGAAGTATGCTGATAACAGTGTGACAGATCTCTGTTTTACCAGGAGATTTTGAGATGAGAGCATACAACTGTAGATAAGTTTTTCCCCCCTCCCTAACTCTATGCTGATATTAGGCATCTACATTGAGCAAACTTGATTAGTGAATTTCTAGATGGTGAACCATTGAAGGAATAAGTAACCTAAATCTTCTCATTTTTGTCCCTTTGAAAACATATAGGATATCCTTGTGAAAGTTGTTGCATATTGAAATTTCTCACTCTTTGCCAACATTTCTCAATGCTTTGAAGACTGTATTACTGGAGGAGTGGAGCTTAAGCGCTCAAACTCTGAACAACCTTATTGACAGTATATATTTATATACAAATTACGGGACATAGCAGTCTTTGTTAATATGCAAAGCTTGCATTTATTTCCAATGTATTCACATTTATGTAAAAAGTCATTAATTCCTTAATTTAATTTTGTGATTTATATATTCATGCTTGAATTTTCAGTTTGTCATATACTATATTAAGTCATATTATGATGAAGTGTATCATCCTAAATAAATTCATGCATTTTTTTTTAAATTCAGAATTTGGGTAGATTTTATATGTGTAGCATTTGTGACCATGTGTAACATACTGTTTTTTTAAGATAACATCGATATAAATATATTATATTGAAAGACAGTTGCTGATTCTATATTACTGCTAAAGTTCTATGGTTCACTGTATGTTGCTAGTAGTTTTTTTGGGGGGGGAGAGTGAAAAGCAACTTGTTGATTTTCATCAGTGCTTGGGATTGGTACTGTCACTCTGTATTGTTCAGGGGTTAACTTTTTATTACAATCCACTTAAATAATTTTTTAATATGAAATATAGTCACTGTATGAACACTGCATTTAAGTTTTTAAATTAAAATAATTTTAAATGCTACTGAGATTCTTGCTTTATCGTAGAACTTTAGTGAAGTATGTCTGTACTACTCTTTAACTGTTGTTTGTAATGCTAAATGAAATTCTTTTTCCTCTTTTTATCTCCGCTAGATTGAAGGCAAAGCTGGAACAGTTGGTGGAGAAGGAGTTCTCCAGAATTTTTTTAATAGTTTATTAAATAGGAGAACAGGGACTACAATTGGTAGTCCATTAGCTTCTGTACGAACACCCGGTGGTAGGTTTTTTTTTAAATAATTTTTTTATTATAATTAAATTTACTTTTGTTGTTTTAAAATAGGAACTTTTTAATGTTTTTAGACAGCTATTAATTTTTCTTAGTTGCACATACATTTTTCTGTAGTAAAATGTACTTGCTTATTTATCAGGCAGTTAAATATACATCTGTTTATTAAATTTTGAGAAAAATGTGTGTTTGCATTATCAGTTACAATAGCAGAAATCTAAAGTGTTTCTGATGAGCATTTTATAAAGCAAGCATAGATTTGGATAACTTGTTATATTAAATATGAGTAAAGCTTTTATGGATAAAGCAGTGGTTACTAATAAAGTAAAATATCAGGTCTATTAGTTTTGGGGCACCTTAAAGTGAAGAGTACTTTTAGTTGGGCTGTTGCATCTAAGCGGGTTTTTTTTTTTTTTTTTTTTTTTTTTTTTTTTTTTTTTTTTTTTTTTTTCATCTGTATTTGTAACAGGAATTTGAGGCATTTCCCACAAAAAATTTTCCATGAAAGCATCTGTTGACTCATCCATGTATGTTATATATTCCATGCAAAACTGCTGCAGTCAAGTTGTTTATTACATTTGAATTATATTTATGTACTTATATGGAACATTTAAGAGGTCATGTTAATATTAACTTTGCTTTCTTTTGATTCCTGCAATTAAAATTGGCATATGAGAGTAGTATTTTTAATAAGATATTTTATTAATCAAATCTCTCTTCAAATGACATGCAACAAAATCTTTATTTCTGTTGGCTTTCTTTGGCATATATTAAAAAAATCCTACTGGTAACATCATAAATTTTTGTCTTTATTTTCATATTAGATTACCTCTTTTTTTTTTAATTATTTGTCCAAAACCTACTGACACTATTCCAATTAAAGCAGTCTGTTACTAGAATAATTGGTGTCTTGAAATTATTCTTTCTTATTTTAATCTTGATCATTCACAGAGCAAAACAATGGTAAATTTCAAATATTTTGCAGACTGTTAGAGCAGTTTTATAAAAGTAAGCTTAAACTTTCGATTATGTCAGAAAGAATTTTCCGATTCTGGAGCTACCAAAGGATCTACAAAGCGAAAGCATGTTTCGATGTCCATCAAACAAAAAGTGGAATTGATGCAAAAAATGGACAAAGGCATATCCTTTGATTCTCTAACCATTCCAAAATCTGTTTATCAATTTCATGCTGCTCTGCAGGGGGAGTGGGGGAACTACGCGGCACGCAGTGAACTGGAAGTTGATCTGTCAGCACTATCCTTATCTTCAGGGCAGATGTTTTTATTTTATTCGGCTTATAATTCCTTACTAAATGTAGTATTTTCATCTCGATGTACTCCGTCTTTGATTTGATTTAAATCAAATTCCTCGTCATTATAAATATCACGAATACACATCAAATAGTTTTCTGGTTGCAGTTTTCTAATTTCGGCTATGCGTAATGTATGCTTTACGCATGCACGCTTTGAAAGAAATGTTTAATAAAGTAAACAAATAAATATTAAGCTTTTTTTTTTTGGTCAGTTTTGATACGCTTTAGATCACAATTGGTCTTTATTTCATAAATTACAGTTTCATGTTTTTAATTGTATAATTTCTGCATGCCATCTTACCAGATTTAAATTGATGATCTATAATCCGGAATCGCCGAAGTCCTGACGAGTCCGTATTAAAGATTTTTTGATTGTAGTAGCTGTTAACCAAACATTTTTAAATCACATTTGTACTGCAAATTCTCAATTTCAGTGCAGATCACAGCTCACAAAAGTAGAAAATGAGAGTACAGAAATTTTGGTTATTTTGCAATAAACATTCACACAGTGGAAAGGCAACTATGAGCATTTTTCTCATAAAGGTGCAGATTTAAATAAAAGATTACTTGTTATGAAGTTGAATGATGGTTCCTTTAAAATTTTCAAATGATTAATTCAATGATAGACAAACTTTTTTGATTGCATACTCCTAAGATGAAAGTAATTATCAGTTGTATCCCATATAATGTAATATGTAATAGAATGAATGTAATACCTCTTGAGGTAAAAAATTGGCTGACTGAAAAGTCACTAAAAATCACTCATCCAAGTTTTTCAACGATAAACCACAGAAGTTCTACACCAATGGAATTATGAAGCCCCCCGAAAATGGAAAAAGATCATAGGTAATAATCATCAATATGTAATTGATTAAAATTGATTTTCATTAAAGAAAAATTTTGTTCAGAAATGTACCAAAAAAAAAAAAAAAAAAGCACGACTTTTTATACAACCCAATGTAATGTTTATAGATCATACAATTTCCTGGGAAGGGGGTATAGGTATAATTTCTTATCCCATTTCATTTGAGACTTTAGCACAAATCATTATATCGATGCTTTGTATTTTAGTAAATCCACTGAGTATTTGCATTTTTGTGTTTTCTAATAATTATGTGCTCTGTATTTAACTTATATCCCTATAATTTTTTTCTATTTTTCAGAAAAAACGACAAGGCATGATGCAGTCGCTGAACTGGATCGCATGTCTGGAAGATCAAAAAAGACACCATCTGGTTTTACACAGTCTTCTGAAACATCTTTTGATGATGAGGGTGGAGATAATCCATCCATGCAATCTTAGTATGACATCTGCTGTTTAATATTTTCACTAAACTTGATATCCAAATGTCCAGTAAAGGTTACTGGAATTTTGACTAAACTTGTATGCAGAAGGATCAGCGAAGATAGCTGATGTTTTTAATTTTGAGATATTTTCGTACTGTATAATTTAAATTATCATCTCCGAGCTGGTGTTGTAACAGTATATATATAAAAAAAAAAAAAAAAAAAATTGCTGTTGGGGAGTACATGCAAGTTGCACAGAAGTTTGCATGAAGGATTTATTTATACAAGTTGCTTTAGTGTATTTAAACCAATGAATTTGCACACTATTTAAAAAAAAAAGAGAGAGAGAGAAGAAAAGAAAAGAAAAAGTGCTGCTTTAAATACATTTTCATGCAATGCTGCTATCAACATTAATTATTTAACTGTTAGTATTTATATCTCGTTACCATTTCAGGTGTCATAGACATTTTTCAGGAATTTCTTGAAAAGTGTAAAATGCTTAATATGCGTTTTGAAAAATAAAGCTATTAAATAAAGTTTCTGTTTGTAGTTTTTTATTAAAAAATTGATTACACTAAATTTATCTTTTCAGTTGTTAATATTGGACTGAAACCTATCCTTTTTTTAATTAGAGAAAACATATCTGAAATAATTCTTTTTTTCATTATGTGTATAATAATAACATGCAGCTTAAATATCTATGAATCTTAAAATGTATCAATTTTTATGAGGAAAATTTTAAAAATATGAATTAGCAAATGTTGAAATTTTTAACATTAGGCAAGATAAACTGCTCAAAACATTTAGGGGATATTATAATTTTGGATATAAGCTGTGTAAGGAAATGTTTTGGTTATATGCTGTATAGGTGTTTTAAAATATGAGAAAAGGAAAAGAAGCAACAAACAATGAATAATTAAATTTTACTGATATTTCTAAGTAAACAAAAAATATATCAGACAAACAAAAATATGATTTCTCAGATACAAATGAGTTTTAATAAGGGTATTGTTTTAGCTGACCGAAAGCAATGTCACAGAAAAATAAAGCTACTGTTGCAGGAAAGTAGCATTCATAGTGCAGTTTGTGGCCATTAATGTTAAATACTGATCCTATGAAGCATGGAATTACTGAAGTACTGGGCTATTATCTCCCACTTCTGTTAGAATAGAGCTTTGAAACTGCTGAATTGTTTCTGGGTATAATAAGCAACTAGCAAGCCTACTTCCTAGAATGTCCCAAATGTGTACAGTTGGGTTAATATCTGGGGAACATGCTGCCCATTCCATTCAAAGAATTCTTTTGTCGAAAATAAAATTGTCCACTAGCTGAGCACGATATGGTCTGCGTTCATAAGAATGATTTCATCCCCGATTGCTGCAGTGTAAAGAGGTATGATAACCTCATCCCTATATTGCTGAGCTGTTAGTCCTCTATTCCTGATAATGTGCAGGTCGTTGCAGTGATTCATATAAATACTAGCTGAGACCTTCACTCCACCTTTGCCACATTGGACACTTTCATGCTCAAATGCAGGAGTATTCCATACATCAAGTTCTTCCCAGATAGGAATTTGGCATCACAAGTTGTACACTAAAGTGGGACTCGTCTGTGAAGAGCATGTTGCTTCACTAATCTCATCCCCATCTGAGATGCTTCTGTGCTCACCTTTGGCGGATAGCAAGGTGGTCCTGTTTCAACAAAACGTACGTCTGTGGGCATAGACACCCGCATGGTGGAGTCGATTTTGGATTTTGAGTGGTTTGAATCCAAACTCTGATACCAAAAGCCCTCTGAAATTACTATTGCAGTAATTTCATTAGCATTCATAGTGCATTCAAGTAGCATTCATAGTGCAGTTTGTGGCCATTAGTGTTAAATACTGATCCTCATTTTGAGTTGTTGAAGGTGTATGACTTTGTGCTGGTCCTCGGCAAACATTTCTAGTTCCAAAAAACTGATTCCATAGTCTTGAAATGACACGTTGAGAAATTCTGAACACTTTCACTAAAATGCAGTACGTTTGAACCCTCTAAATGACCAATGGCCCTCCAAGCTACCATTTCAGCTAAGTCATCTTGCTGAGACATCATATTCACTGTTGCAAAACATTCAGTGTATGTCAGTTGTTTTTAATCTTCTCCTACAAGAATGCTTCAGATCGCTTTTCACTCCACGTTCAAAACACATTTTTGATAACACAGACAAAATTTGCATATTCCCAACTTTGTAAATATTATAATTTTCCTTTTAAGCTCTCCCATTTCATTTTTGTTAGAAAATTTGATGATTATATGCTTACTTCATACTGAACTCGCAATATCTCCAAATTGTGATGAAGGTTTGAGTGTGTTCACACATTTTTGTAACGATTTTGATTTTCTCCATGAATTTAAATATTAATTTTAAAATACAAATGTGTCTGGCATCAAACTGGAATAAGGTTTAATTATCATCTTACAGCATTCAAAATATTCTTTTCTTTAACTCTTTCGCATCGAGAGACGACCAAATCTGTTTTCAACAAACATCGAAAACGCCCGTGTTTACGAATTTGTCTTGGAATAGTTTTCCTTTCCCCCTGCGGTTTCATCCATTGTGTGCAGTTTCACCTTAGGGCCGGATAGCACCTGCGAACGTCAATAGCTTTCTGTATTTCTCCTTTATTTGCTTCAAAAGAATGATTGACATGTCTTTTAACAACTCGCGAAACCAATGAGCCATACACTAACGTGGAGGGGAAAGAACTAGGTAGAAAATAAACGAGGCGTTGGGGCGGTTTGCCATTGCCTGAATGAACGGGCGTTACGGGCGACTTCGATCCGAAAGAGTTAAAATATCGCTGAAATAAACAATGGATTGAAAGCTAAATTTTTACGCTGTTTGAAGAGAAATACTCTTATTCAGTTATTGAAAAATGATCTGAAAAGCATAGTTTTAATATTTTTCCATGTAAATGACATAATTACTATGAAAGGAAAGAAATGTCAAACTTTACATCTGACTGGGAAAAAGGCAAAAAATGCATACCCAACAAAGGTACGTACAGCTCTTATTAAATCTGAAGTAGCATCTCATGTTTTAAAGGAAAATCCAGCCCCCCCCCAAAAAAAAATTGCAAAATTTTTAAATATCTCTAGGAACTGTGAACAAAATTATAAAATCTGATTTAAAGCTAATAAAAAATAAATGTTCATTGCGTAATGCCGAAACATGTTTCTCAGAGTAAGACTGCAGATTCCTGTATGAAAATTATTTGGCAGGTAAAAAATGGAAATATGTAGTTACAGTTGATGAGGCTTGGGTATACTTATCTGATTGCAATAGAAAAAGATCAATTTACTACTGAAAAACCGGTGAAAAGGTCAGTATGTTGGTTCAGAGAAACTGGATTGTCTTATAACAGAAAACTTAAAAGTAAGGAAAGTAGGAGAAAATGTCAATATTAATTCGGATTAATATCAGAAATGCTTTCACACCTATTTTTAAAGAAGAAATTTCATCTCTATCCAATCTTCAGTGTGTGAAGTTCCATCAGGGTAAGGCTGCAAGCCATATCTCTAAATCTACTGCTGTGTTTTTAAAAGAATTAGAAATGTAACTGGAATTGAAGCTATTTCCCTTTGAATGCATTCCACCCAAATCCCTTGATGTGTCACCTATGGATTACTATGCATTTGGACTTTTAAAACAAGCTCTTTATAAGCAGTATACCAAAACATTGGAAGGACTCTGGAAGATTGTGAAGGAGGAGTGTAATAAACTCAAGCTTGTTGTTTTAAGAAAAGGACGTTTATCTTGGAAATCAAGATGTAATATGATAGTTCAACGAAAAGGCTATTAGATTAAGCATATTAGAAAATAAAATTTTGATTCTTGCAAAGTCATTATAAAAGTGTGTAAACAACTTTTGTATTTTCTTCTTACTTGACAGTCTAAAGTTGTTCTTGTGACAGGTTGACAAATGTAATACAGGTACATTTGACTTATTCTTTATAAGCAAATGTTAGATAATTTAAATTTTTATTTCTCACCAACAAACATTAAAATATAATTATATTTTATGAGGACGTAATGAAATTCAAAAACGAGTTACATTTACATTTTTCCTCAAAACTGAGCAAAGTAAATGAAAATATATTCTTGAAATTATGCAGAAGAAAGAATATTTATAAATTATAATAATGTGAAACAAAGCTATATTTCCTTGAATATTTTCCCTGCACATTTTCAGCAGCAGGTTCTGAAAAATTTAGAAATATTCTTGTAAATTTATCCTTCCTCAATGATTCAGAGAACAAGCTGCCCAAAATTTTAAAATGGATTTGATCATGTAGCAATTGTTTTTGTATTACTAATACACTCTCCCTAATCATCTGCAAAGGTTATGCTGAACTTTTCCCTTCACCAGCCAATTATAAAGACTGACACATTGAAGTAAAGCAAACGTGAACTGCCATTCAGTCTACGATTTTGCTAAATCAGTTGCACATTCACCTTCTCTAATTATGTATCAAAAGTTCAAGGTCCAAGTAGTATCAGACACAAACAATAAGAACGAGTGAGATTGAAGTAACAGGGAAATGGAAGTAAGATATCTTTTTAGGTATTCTGATTCTATAATGTTTATTACGTATTCTTGCTGGAATGTGAGTTGCTTTAAAAGAAGTATTATGATAATGACCTGTAATTATCTGTGACTACTGATTTGTTATGATCTTGCCATGACTGTGTCCTTCAGAAATTAAATTATTCACATATTCCTTCTAGATTTTCAAATAATGACATTTGTAAAAAAAAAGGGAAATACAATGTATACAATTTGTACTTTGCTGTTACTGAGAGAAAAGGCACTTTTAACTTTTCTCTTTTTCACTGATGAAGTTCTAATAAGCATTACTTTCACTTATACTTTAATAGGGTAGCTGCATGCAGAAGACTTTAAATCTGAAAATACATTTTTAAACTTGATTATTGTCAAAGGGATTTGGGAAATGAGTTTTGCGAATGTCCCTTAATAAATTTTTAAAAGAAGAACGCGATCATCTGTAAATTTGCCAAATATTCGAAAAAGAAAATTATCAAAACAACAAATAAAATGTCAAAGGGAAATGGAAGTAAAGTCTTCATTTCTTGATAATGAGGATGGATTCATTGATTGATAATGTCTTTCTTCCGATGGGCAAGATGAACTGTTAATATTGTTAGAATAATACAATAAATACAAAATACGTTTTGATTACTTATTTATATTTTCCGCACAATGATCTCTTTCATCTGTAACACATATATACAGTTCATTTAGTTACCTGGAATTATATTAGTACTCAAAAAGTACTCTTATTAGTATATTATTAAAGTATATTGTTTTTAAAAGAGTAATAAACATCATAAGAAATTGAGTTATAAAAATGGCATTAAAGAATAATTTTTAAGAGAGAAACAAGTGCCAGTGAGTTAAGCTCTTTCAAAGAAAGTTGAAAATGTCACCTGCTGCTATGCATTTTCTTTTCCATTTCCTGTTGATGGTTTTTGATAG